TTCACACTTTCAAAAAATTTCATATTTATGTTGTTGGGACAATTGGTATGGCACAGTGAAGGCGACTGATGCATTTGATGCAAAACCAAGGGCAATGAAAAACGAACACGCAGCCACAGGATACCCTACCCAGCAAGCTGATTTGAACCAGAAGTGTTATATAATAGCAACGTCATTTTATATGTTTGAGCTGACAAGACAACTGATGTGATTTATGATAACAACGTCAATGCAGCGTGCTCAATAGACTAAAGCAGTTCTGATAACGTCGAGGATTGATGTGCCTTCAACGATGGTACGCTGCTATAGCGAGTGCGCTTTGCTGATGTGCTGCTGTTTTCAGTGTCAGTACAAATGCGGCTCGCCAACATTGCAGCGCCTCGATGAGTGCTTGCAATCTGTTCCTTTAGGGGTGAGGCCTTACCTGTAAAATGTCGCTCAAAGTAGGGTTGTAATTTTTACTGTATCGCACTCAGTCGTCAGCTTCATCTTGACGATTCCTCACGACGCCCATGCGACAGCTCGGACAAGAAACCCAGGGTGGGCGACGTGCGACGTCAAAACCCAGGGTCCACACCTCCAGCACACTTTTCATCCAGATGCAGCCAATTGAGTTTACAGCGTTCGATCTTGCGAGCGATTGTTGTTGGCGGCGCCGTAACTAACCGGCCCAAATGGGCATCTGCGTTGCGAGGAATCGCCCAGGGCAAACAGTTGTCGTCTGCCTTTCACTTCACACCTGCTTGTGCGATCCCACCTCAACAGCAAATTGGGCAAGCCGCATCGCACCCGATCAATTCGGCCTTCCACCACACCTGCCCCGCTCAGCTTTATAATCCTCCCTTGCTCCAACTCAGATTATCAAAATACGCTCGACTTCTCTAGCTCACTAACCTACCTCAGCGTCTGCCAACTTGATTTTCCAGCTAATACGACCTCACCCAGTGGCACAAAGCCCTCAACGCGTGCAATTTCAGCCTTCTTTTCGGTACCTGACTAGCTCAGTTATGGCTTCGAAAGTTGTTCTAGCGCTCCTCGCGACATCACTTCTCCTCACCTCAGCAGCTGCTGCTGAGTTCACTCCCCGGCCGTCGCCTGACTCATTGCCCACAACGTCGCCTAAAACGACGCTCAGCACCTTCTCACCGCCTCCGGCGACAACGTTTCGCGCGGAGCTGAAGCAAGTGGCGAGCATCCTCGCAGGCCAGCCAGGCTACAGCCTTCCGGCCAAAGTGTTCGCCACTCTTAGTACGCCTTCCCTTCCCACTGTGCTCACTCATTAATGCACCGTCTGTCCCTTGTGCTCCCTTGTGCTCACCTTCTGTTTCTCTGCTCTCTCGTTAGTTCACCTTCTGTTCGCCTACCGATTCCAAGTTCTCTAACGCAGTCCAAGCTTTCTCTGCACCCTACGCCTCTCGCCTGCACTTTCACTGTCCTGTTGCCGTCGTGTCGAATAGCCTTCCGCCTGTTTTTGGCACACAAAACAATAATTGTTCTCATGCTTCCCCTCGCTGCTGCTCCTTCTTCCTCCCCTCTCCGCCCCCACGTACAATCCGTTCCCCGTCCCTCCCCGCGCCACCCGCGTCCCACCGGTGTACTGTCACGCGCGAGTCATTCCCCAGGCAACTTCCCGAACGCGAAGCTGAAGCTCGTCGAAAACACCACCGTTTTCGTCCCCACCGATGCCGCCCTCAAGAAGCTCGGCGTTCGCGCGCTCTTCAACCCCAAGCTGGTTACCAAATTCGCCCGCTACAACATCATCCGCGGCCGCTTCTCCTTCAACCAGATGAAGAACCTCCCCCGTGGAACCCAGCTGCGCTCCCTTTACCAGAACCGCCCGGTAGAGCGCAAGGCCGTGAGCCCCGCCGCGAAGGACTGGGTGATCAAGAACAAGGACCTTCTCGACACTGACTTTTTCCACAAGGTCGGCACGCAAGAGAGCGCCGCCGCGATCAACAAGCTGCTCCCGCCGGCCGGCAACGAGGTGGGGTTCGGCCGGCCCAACTCGGGTCCGCTGTCGTGGGTGCGAGTAGACAAGCCCGACCTGTTCAACGGTAAATTTATCAAGGTTCACGGCGTGGATAACCTCATCAGGCCGCCTGCCTAAAAGGGTGTTTTAGACTCCCACATTTAGAGTGATCCTGTGGCAGTTAGTGTAGATTTGCAATGTTCTTTCCTTTCAATTGCAGCTCCGGCTGTTAGTGTAGATTATTTGATGCGCATATGGAAACTTCAAAGCTGTCTTGTTGGGGCACAGCTCGTGCCCTGGTAGGTTGTAACAAATAATGACGGTCACCATATTTGTTGGGATGGTTAGTACGATGTAAGCAGGTGGTAGTCTGATGAATGGTGGCAAGTGCTGCTGTACTGCCTCCCCGTTCACTAGCTGTACCAAGCCCTTGGAACGTTGCTCCAAGCAGCCTAAACATTGGCCGCACAAGGAGCTAGATGTACGGTAGTCTTTGTGTATGCCCAGACGCTGTTGCATTGCACCTTGTGCTGGATAATGTGGCAGCAAGGGTTGTGGGGTGGGGTTTCCTGTCGAGATAGCTAAGCAAGGTTGAGTTGCATTGACGAGAGAGATTGCTACAAGAATCACAACCCCAAAGTGTTATCCCCTATAACATCTACCCCACTACAGCCTACCAATATATATCACACATATATATCATTTGACACACCCCCATAGGCAAAGTGGGGGAGAGCAACGGGTCACAAGACCAGTCAAGAGAAGCAAAACAAGCTCAGGGTGGATCACAACGTCACCACACATTCAGAGCACAAGCAAATGGCCACAAGGCCAGTTCACATGCAGAGATATATATGCAGCAATAACAGTACAGTGATGGCTACCTAGCAAGAGCCAGCATGCAGGTATATATATATATATCACAGTACAAGCAGAGACTACAACAAGTGTGGAAACGTAGGCACAAGGCCCAACAGAGTACAAAAGCGCTGATGATCACCAGACGGAAGTGCCTTGGTGAATATATCAGCAGTGTTGGCCCGAGTGGCCACGTGACGAAGACGAAGCTGGCCTCGCTGCTGCAACTCTCGAGCCAGGAAGTAACGCAGAGCAATGTGCTTCGTTCTGTGCTCCAGTCTGTGCTCCTCACACAAGGCAATGGCGGCCTTGTTGTCAACGTACAGCACTGGAGGAGAACGAGGCCGCTCACCCAAGTCAGTCAGCAGGTAGGTGAGCCAGCGTAGCTCCTGTGCAGCCATGGCGGTGGCGTAGATCTCAGCCTCACAACTGGAGCTGAGAACAGAAGACGAGCGTGTAGACTGCCAAGAAACAGAGCCAGAGCCAAGGCTGAAGGTGTAACCCTGTGACGACCGCTGTGTAGCCTGGTCGTCAACCCAAGACGCGTCTGAGTGCCCAGTGAGGACCACCTCACTCCGTCCTCCAAGCACGAGCCCCATGCCCGATGTACTGCACAAGTAGCGCAGTACCCTCTTAGCAGCAGCCATGTGCTCTGGTCGGTGCCTACCAGGAGCCACGTAGCGAGCGAGAAGGCCAAGAGGGTACGCAAGGTCAGGACGAGTGCAGGTCATCAGGTACATGAGGCAGCCCACTAGCTCTGGGTAAGGACCACTCGGCTCTACGGACTCGTCCGAAGGTGGAGCTGAGAGCGAGTGACCTGTAGCCAGAGGAGTGTGCTGTGGCGAGGACCAGGTGAAGCCGAAGCGCTGAAGAACCTGCTGCACCATGTGTGACTGAGTCAGTGTGATGGTGCGGCGTGCTCTGTCCCGAGTGATCTGCAAGCCAAGGTAACTGCACAGCTCACCCAGGTCTGTGCACGTGTGTCTCTTCTGCAGCTCCGACTTCACCAAGGCGAGAGCCTCAGTGTCAGCAGTGGCAAAGACTAAGTCGTCTACGTACACGAGGATGTAGAACGGTGGCAGCGAAGTGTCGGTGCGCAGGAACAGCGACGGGTCAGCTGTCGAAGGAGCGAACCCAAGAGCCAACAGTGTCGTCCTCAGTGTGTCGTGCCACTCACGTGGCGCCTGGCGGAGACCGTAGACTGGCCGCCGGAGGCTCCACTGGGTGCCAGGAGGGAACGACCCAGTGAAGCCAGGTGGGCGGCGCAGCCAGATCTCCTCGTGCAGGCTGCCCTGTAAGAAAGCTGTGCTGAAGTCAAGAGAGTGAAGCTCGTAGTCACGGTGAGCGGCAACGTGCAGCAGCACCCGAAGAGTAGTCATCTTCGGGGTAGGGGAGAAGGTCTGGAAGAAGTCAACTCCCTCTCGCTGACTGAAGCCTCGAGCAACGTAACGAGCCTTGAAGACAGGCGAAGAACCCGGCGGCCGCTTCACCCTGAAAATCCACATGCCATCGACGATGTTCGCCCCAGGAAGGGGGAACCTCATCGACGTAAGTGCCTGTGGACTTCCAGAATGCCATCTCTGCGTCCATGGCTGTCTGCCACTGAGAGGAGTACTCACCCGCCATCGCCTCAGCGTAAGAGCGCGGGGTCGGGATGTCTGGTGCATCCGGGTCTCCCTCAGGGGCAAGCAGCATGGCCACGAGATGAGGCGCAGCAGCCGCAAGACACTCAAGGTCCTCGTGCCTGTCCTCAAGGACGTCCGTGCTAAGAGCACACTCACCCCCGACGGACGGAGGACAGACAGACTCAGACTCAGCAACAAGACTGGCAGCGAAGTCTAGACGACAGGCAGCAGCAAAGTCAACAAGCTCAGCGACAAGAGCAGACGCAGCAGTAGACTCAAACGACGGGTCAGTGACAACAGTGGCTAGCAGACGCGTGACAGTAGGGTGCTCAGCACGAAACCGGTCAGACTCAGGGTCTGGAACGTCAGGTAGAGAGGACGCAGGAGGAGACGGCAGAGGAACAGGCTGCAGAGCAGAGGAAGGACGACGGACGACGAGGTGTGCGCTGGGGACAGCCGGCTGACGCGAACGAGGAACACGACGACCGGTACGACCAGGACGAGCAGGCGAGACAGGACGCGACGCAGGCTCACGACGCTCAGCAGGACTACCAGTCTGCTCAGTGTAAGGAGAAGGAGCAGGCAGCGGTGAGCCAGGCTGTAACGGAAGACCAGTAGACGACGGGAGAGTAAGAACCTGACGAAGAGCAGAGTCAGACGGCGGCAGAGACGACGGAGATGGCGGAGCGAAGAACAGTCGTGTCGGCGCAGCTGCGCCAGTACCGGCAGCTCCAGCAGCTCCAGTACCTCCAGCAGCTCCAGCACCTCCAGCAGCTCCAGTCCCAGAACCGACACCTCCAGTCCCAGGGTCTCCAACCTCAGTGTCTCCAGCAGCAGCACCCCCAGAACCAGCACCCCCAGCCCCAGCAGCTCCAGTACCCCCAGGACGAGCACCTCCGGAACCAGCGACTCCAGCAGTAGAGCCCCGGGCTCCAGCAGCGCGACCCTGACGGCGACCGTACCGGTCCTGCAGCTGCTGTGAGGTGAGAGGCACACGTGGACGAAGGCGGCTACTCCAAGGAGACCGCGCAACAGCAGACTCAGAACCCTCAGCGCCAGCACCCCCAACTGCTCCAGAACCTCCAGCGCCAGCACCTCCAGGCTCCTCACGCGTAGGCTCAGTACCCGCAGACTCGGCACCCCCAAGCTCAGCACCTCCAGGCTCCTCACGCGCAGGCACAGCACCCCCAGACTCCGCACCCCTAGGCTCAGCACCTCCAGGCTCCTCTCGCGCAGGCTCCGCACCCTCAGACTCGACACCCCCAAGCTCAGCACCTCCAGGCTCCTCACGCGCAGGCACAGCACCCCCAGACTCCGCACCCCCAGGCTCAGCACCTCTAGGCGCCTCTCGCTCAGGCTCCGCACCCCCAGGCTCAGCACCCCCAGGCTCAGCACCCCCAGAGACAGCACCCCGAGCAGGACCACCTCCAGCAGGACCTGAGTCACCAGTGACCTCAACAGGCGCAGGTACCGGAGGGTCTACCTGAGAAACACCTGAAGGAGCAGGACCTGGCGCGGGGAGGGGGTCTACCTGGGGAGGACCTGGAGCGAGAAAGAGCGGGGGGGGGGGGCGAGAGGCAGTGCGGTAGGGAAAGAGACGGTAGAAGGGAACAGACTCGTCAAAGGTGACGTCCTAAGACGCAAAGACACGGCGCGAGGTGGGGTCGTAAAACTGCCAGCCAGGCGCGTCAGGAGGAAAACCAAGGAAGACGCAGGGAATGGCGCGAGCAGAGAGCTTGTCCGCGGTGGTATCGCGGACAAAGGCACGAGCACCCCAGACCCGGAAACGCGACGCATCGCCAACCTCCCCCGTCCACAGCAGCGTGGGCGAGGTCTCCGGCAAGGAGACACGGGGCCAGAGGTTGAGCTGATGCGCGGCGTACCGGACCGCGAACGGCCACAGAAAATGGGGAGCCGCTGCATGGATCATGGAGGTACGAGCGACCTCCATGACTAAGCTAATGCGGCGCTCAGCAACCCCATTCTGCTGCGGAGAGGCCGGAAGCGTGAACGACTGGGTGATGCCGTGCTCCGCACAGAAGGCTGCCAAGAGGTCAGAGGAGAACTCACCACCTCCGTCAGAGTGCAGACGCAGGACAGGGAAGTCCCGCTCGAACCGCTCGCGGAGCTGGAGACGCACAGCGCGGATCCAGGGGATCAAAACAGCAGGGACGTCCCCCTTGCTGCGCAAGGGGAAGACCGTGGTGTAACGCGTGTAGTCGTCGACAACCAGCAAAAAGTACCGCTCACGGCCCTGTCCCTGGACGCGGGCTGGGCCCCACACGTCCAGGTGGAGCGTCTGCAGGGGAGCCTCTGTGGGAGGAAACGAGGAGGAGTGAGGAGCGGCGCGCTGCCGCCCCTCGACGCAGGGAATGCAGGGCGGCGCAGGCGAGGGAGGGAGGGCAGGCAGAGACCTGGGAAGCCCAGAGACCAGGGAGCGAGAGTGCATGCTACGAAGGCGAGGAAGGGAGGGGTGACCAAGGCGGTGGTGCCACAGAAGCGTGTCGTGCGACAGGCGGCGACACTCACACTAGGTAGCTACCTGAGCAGACGCGTACAGCTGAGGAGACAAAGGAGTGTAGCGTGAAACAGTGGTGAGGGTGTACAGACTAGACCCCGGCTCACGAGTGAACGTGGCCAGGTGGCGGCCAGTCTTGGAGCACGTGCAGATCGCCACACGCTGCCCTCCAGGAGTCCAGGTGTCAACCCAGTGATCCTGGAGGACGGCGTTGCTCACCAGGTTCGTAGAGAACGAGGGAACGTGGAGACCTGACAGCTCACCAGACGGGACCGCCGGGCACGGGAGCACAGTCGTGGCTCGTGCAAGCACTGGGCCCCCAGAGGGGTCAGCCAGTGAGACAGGGACAGGTGCAGGGAGGGGAGTGACGGTGGTGCTATCGCGAAAGAAACAGCGGGAAGCACCAGAGTCAAGTGTAAACGTGTGCAAGGCCTGAGTCGACTCAGTACCAAGGGGAGCAGACTCACTAGCACCTAGGGCTGCAGCCCTTATACCGGGGTCAATACCAGGATCAGGCGGCACACACAAGTAACAGTCACCCTCAGCACTAACAGTCAATGCATACATGGCAGCAAGAATAACATCATAGTCCAGATCAAAGATAGGCACATCACGCCTAAGCAGCTCGGCCCAGTTGGGGAACTCAGTAGCATCAGGATACTTGGCACGCCAGGCGTCACTAAGCCTAGCAAAACAACGATACTCAGTGTGAAAACCGTTGCAGGGGCGACCCTTGCGGGGGCCAGTACGAATGACATAGGGGCAGCGGTCAGAACCCCGAGACGCCCCACGCCCAGCATACCAGTCATTGAGCTGCTGGGAGGTGAGGGGAGGAAGCTGCTGCTGCTGGCCACCAGTGGGGCCACCCTTCTGGCCAGATCCACCCCCACTCCCACCTCCACCGCCACTGCCGCTGCCTCCTCCCCCACCACCGCCGCCGCCGCCTCCACCGCCCCCGGTCCTGCCGCCACCCCACCCACCGCCTCCACCCCCACGGCCACCCCCACCACCTCCACCACCCCCGCCGCCTCCACCACCGCTCCCTCCACCGCCACCTCCGCCACCCCTGCCACCCTTGCCGCCCCTGCCACCACCACGCTTCCCACCAGGAGCGGAAGCCGCTGCGACCTTCTCCGCACCGAGGAAGTCGACAGCAGTAGCAGCAGAGGCGTAGGAGGGGTCAAGAGGGGAGGGGGAGCACCCCTCAAAGAGGGGAGTGCGGGGAGTGCCACGAGCAGCACCGACAGCGAGGATGTTCTTCTCTGCTGCGACCAGCTGCTGCTCGAAGTCGTCCAGAGTGATAGTTGGAGGATCCTTGGCAAGGAAGTGATCCCTGACAGAGCGAAGAGTGTCAGGGAGGCGGGTGACGAGGATGTAGAGGGTGAAGTACAGCGGGGGGGTGTTCGTGGCGAGGAACTCGTCGGTAAGAGCGGCTCGAAAGCGGGCGTCACTAGCGCGGAGGTGAGTGATAAGGTCGGCAGCAGTGTGAAACGAGGCTAAGTCTGGGAACAGGTAAGGCAGGATGAGACTACCAACGGTGGCTGTGGCCGGGGCGGAATAGCGGGCAACGACAGCATCATACAGCGTCTTAGCAGTCTTAAGCTGGTTGAAATGCGCGCGCTCAGAGATCGGTAGGTGATTGCGAATAACAAGGCGCGCGACTGCATCGCGGAGCTCCCACTGTGCTCGTTCAGGGGCAGGAGCAGTCTCAGCGGGAGTAGGGACAGTGCCGGTCACATAGGCTAGCAGTGATACTCCGTCGGCAACGTCAGTCATAAGGTAAAGCCGCAGATCACTAAGCCAGGTGTCAAACTCGATGGGGCGGCCGTCAGGCTCAAAGGCGAGAACAGTAAGGGTCGCCATGGTTGCAGCGCAGGCAAAAGTAGCAGGCTCAGGCAGCAGGCTCAGGCAGCAGGCTCAGGCAGTAGGCTCAGGCAGCAGGCAAAGGCAGATAGGAAAAAAAAAAAAACAGGATAAACCCAAAACCCCAGACGCAATGCACGGGGCAGCAGCGCGCTGTACGAGCGACGAACGCGACTTGCAGGGCCTAGGTGGGCTGCTCGCGGACGGTAGGTGCAGTGCGCAGCTCTGAAGCAGGCCACGCAGGCAGCGAACGCGACGCGCGGGGCCTAAACGAGCTGCGCGCGAGCGACGAACGCGACGCGCGGGCTGCAGACGGGCTGCGCGGGGCCTTAGCGGGCTGCGCAAGGCAGCGACGGGCCGCGCGCGGGCTGCGCGGGCTCAGGGCGGGCTGCGCGGGCGACGGACGGGGCGCGACGCGGCTGGCAGCAGCAGTGCGCGCTAAAAAAAAGGCGTGCGCGCGCAGCCGAGGCGCGCGCGGGCAGCAGGCTAGGCAGACAAACAGGCAAGGCAGGTAGGCAGGCCGTTGGTGAGGTAACTTAGTAACTGGTGGGCCCTTAAACTTAGGTCCTAAGAACCTGCTCTAGATGCCATGTCGAGATAGCTAAGCAAGGTTGAGTTGCATTGACGAGAGAGATTGCTACAAGAAACACAACCCCAAAGTGTTATCCCCTATAACATCTACCCCACTACAGCCTACCAATATATATCACACATATATATCATTTGACAGTTCCATGACTCACACGCATCACAAGCTGAACCTGGGGGACGAGACGACATAGCAGCAGGGGCTGTTGTAGGGGTCACATTATCACAGCACATGCTGTACCTTGGTATATTATGCAGGGGTATATTATGCTTTCTGTTTGTCTCTGCATCAGTGGCGAGATTACAACCACTGGACTACTCACGGAGCTCCACATATGTGTTGACCTGGCAAATGCAACAGCTTCTGGCTCGAAGACCTACCTTACTAATTTATTGAAATGTGAAAGACCAGTATTCTCAAGTTGGGTAGATGTGACGTTCCAAGGTATAATGTTGTGACAGACAGGGCCCACGTTATCAGGGCAAAACATCCTGATTACCCTGAATTCAGGATGCACTTCTGTATTTACCCTGCAATTTCAGAATAGTCATAATTTTAACCCTGAGGTCACAGGATGTTTTTATGTGAAATGCCCTGGAGTTTCAGGATGGCCGTAGTGTTCTTCCCTGTAGCGTCAGGATGAATGTCGAGGCCTGCCCTGACGCGGATTTTGGTGGGGGGCGGGGGGGGGGGGGGGGGGGGGGGGGGGGGGGTGTAAGGGGGGGTGTTCCGTTTCGGGGGCAATTTTTTCCCCGAGGATTTTTGTCTCCGTTGAAATTTTCCCCCGTGTACGTTTCCCGCCTTCGCACGTTCTCTTCCCCTTGACATTTCCGATCCCCCGCTACACCAGCCAAGCCAACCCCACCCCATCACCCACCGCCAAGGCAACTCGTCCTCTGCCTGGCTAGCTCTAGCTGGGTTTCTCACGCTGACGTTCAGTAGCACTCCATCCAACACCCTTGCAGCAGGGCTGACGATATCAGACTATTTTAGTCTGATTGTCTGAAATTTCAGACTATTTTCCTGTCATTCCTGATTTTTCAGAGTTGGCTAATTTTGGAAAATGAGTGCTTCAGACTAGTGTTTCTTTCAATACTGAAAATTTCAGAGTAGTTGCTTGCCGGATAGTGAGTTCTCATACTACAGAGTATGAACTCCTCTACGCCATTCATGTTACTTCGAAGAAAATACACCCCTCGGGACTTGTGCATAAGTCCCGCTAGTAGTAAAACATGCTTAGTGTTGTGGTAGTCTCAAAATTCTACAGATTTCAGAGTTATGCTTCTATGGTTCCTGAGAAATCAGAGTATTCATTCTCTGGAAAATGGGCCTCAGACTAAAAAATTTTGGGGGCCCAATACAATCAGAGTGGTTTTATTTGAATAGTCAGCGCTGCCTTGCTGTGTTGCTGTTAGAGTAGCAGCAGCACTAGTAGTGAAGTTCGGCTGCGGCTGCTCTGCTATGCTAAACAGAGTCTGGTCTGGTCTGTTTGTGATAAAATCAGAACCCTGAACACTACAATTTTTGCCCTGACAGGTCAGGATTATTTTCTGCAAAAGCCATGACCAATCAGGAAGGTGTTAAATTGTAATGTGTTACATGTTGGTAGGCTGTAGTGGGGTAGCCAATATGGGGTACAACCCCAACTAGGGTTTGCTACTTGTACCCAACTGTTTCATTCAATGCATCATTCTTGCCTAGTCTTGTTGACATGGTATCAGAGCAGGAGGTCCCTAGGACCTACCGACCGTTTTTTTAGGGCCCACCACCGCTCGCATGCGGTTACCACGCTACCCCGTGCCCTAGCCTAGCTGCGCCCTCGTTAGCGCCCTCGCGCGCCCTCGTTAGCGCCCTCGCGCGCCCTCGCTGCGCCCTCGCGCGCCCCTCGTTAGCGCCTTCACGCGCCCCAGTTAGCGCCCTCGTGCGCCCGTGCTGCCCGCCCTGTCGAAACAAGTTAGGCAGAAGTTAGGAACAGAAAGAGAGGTTTGAACTAGCAGGCAGTTGAGTACAAATAGCAAACCCTAGATTGGGCTGTACTCGCTATAGAGTACCCCACTGCAGGCTAGACAATATAACATTCTGACACACCCCCATAGCCAAAGTGGGGTGTAATCAGCACAACAAGCAGTCACAATAGCAATAGTTCATAAATTATGAGCAAAGGTAGAGGCAGTCACTGAGGGCAAGTGAGGAGGAGGAGGGCTGGCGAGAGGAGAGTAGATGGGAGGCGACGACTGAAGCTGCAGACACACGGGCAACAGACGGCTCTGGTGCAACGCTAGTGGCTACCGGGAGCAAGTGCCCCGGAATACAGGAGTAACAGGCTCTGCGTCTGATCAGCAGCGACAGGAGCAACGGACCCACGGGCGACAGGTGCAACCGGCTCTCTGAGCTACCGGTGGCTATCAGAACCCCGGAATACAGGCGCTGCGGACGACACGACGGCAACCTCCACTCAATCTCCCCCAACAGTCCCACACCCCTCGACACACACCCCCTGCTGCGCCCCTAGCTCCACTCCCCCTTCACCCCCCTAGCACCACTCCTTCGGCTCCCCACACAACCACCCCCCTGAGCGGCAGCTGCAGCAGCGGGAGACGAAGGAGGAGGAGGAGGAGGGGACGGGGCACACAACCGGCACCCCCACAACCGCCACCCCCACACTCCCCACCCCCAAACCCTAAAACGGGCGGAACGGGGGAAGGAGCGCGGGGGACGGCGAGGGGGACGGCGCGCGGCCCCCAGGGCGCCACCACGGGGCAGCGAGGGGCCGCGCGCGGCTCCCCAGGGCGCCGCGAAGGGGCAGCGGGGGGTCGCGCGCGGCTCCCTAGGACGGCGCGACGGGGAGTCGGGAGCCGCGCGCGGCTCCAGCTGGTCGACGCGACTGTCGACGGGGCAGCGGGGGGTCGCGCGCGGCTCCCCAGGGCGGCGCGACGGGGTGGCGGGGCGACGCGACCACCGACGGGGCAGCGGGGGCAGCGCGCGGGTCCCCTAGGGCGACGCGACGGACAGGGCGGGGGCGCGCGCGGGTCCCCCACGATAGGAAACCGCCGTGCGCCTCGGGGCGCACGGCGGGCAGAAAACCGCCGCGCGCCCCGAGCGCACGGCGGGATGAAAACCCTAAAAATTTTCGCCGCGCGCGGTGAAGACGACGCACGCCCGAGGCGCGCGAGAAGCATAACAGCAGCGGAAGCAGTTAGGTGGTGGGCCCACCCACAGGATCGACCCAAGGGGGTCGACCTGCTCTGATACCATGTCGAAACAAGTTAGGCAGAAGTTAGGAACAGAAAGAGAGGTTTGAACTAGCAGGCAGTTGAGTACAAATAGCAAACCCTAGATTGGGCTGTACTCGCTATAGAGTACCCCACTGCAGGCTAGACAATATAACATTCTGACACGCCCGTCGCGCTGCCCGCCGCGCTGCCCGCCGCGCTGCCCACCGTCGCGCTGCCTGCCGCGTCGCCCGCCAGTCGCGCAGCCCGCTGCGCTGCCCGCTCGCCGCGCTGCCCGCCCGTCGCGCTGCACGCTGCGCTGCCCGCCCGCTGCGCTGCCCGCTGCGCTGCCCGCTCGCCGCGCTGCCCGCCCGTCGCGCTGCACGCCGCGCTGCCCGCCCGCCGCTGCCCCGCGCAACTCGCCCCAGGTCCGCGCGGCGCGTCCGCGGCCCGCAGCGCGCTGCGCGCCGTCCGCGCGGCCCGCGCCGCGCCCTACCCGCCAGTGCACGGCCCCCGGCAGCGGCTCGCGCCACCCTGCCGCTGCCACGACCCGGCCCTGCCCTGCCGCTGCCACGACCCGGCCCTGCCCTGCCGCTGACTCGATCCGGCCCTTCACTGTAGCCGCTGCCACGGCCCTGCTGTCGCCGCCGTCGTACGCTGACCCTGCCGCCGTCCGCCGAGCACCGGCCCTGCTCGCCCGGTGAGAGCCTGCTCTTCCTGCTACTGGTGAGCCCCTGCCTTGCTAGCGCGCTGCCGCGTCGCCGGCCTGCCTACCTGCTGACTGACTTGGGAGAGCGGCCTAGTTCTCCTCCAGTTCTGTACGGCGACAACAAGGCGGCCCTTGCCTTGTGTCAGGAGCACAGACTGGAGCACAGGACGAAGCACATTGCTCTTCGCTACTTTCTTGCTCGAGAGCTGCAGCAGCGCGGTCAGCTTCGGCTTGTGTACGTGGACTCGAAGGCCAACACTGCTGATATCTTCACCAAGGCGCTCCCGCCTAGTGATCATCAGCGGCACTGTACTTCTTTAGGCCTTGTGTCCACATTCCCTCATTTGCTTACTGCTTGACTTTCTTTGTACTGTACTTTATATATATCTTGGTGCTTGCTTGCTAGGTTTTGATCACTGTGTTGCTTGTCTTGTACTATATCTAGCACTGCATGTGAACTGGCCTTGTGGCCTTTGCTTGTGCTCGGAGTGTGGTGACGTTGTGATCCACCCTGGGCTTGCGTTGCTTTGCTGGACTGGTCTTGTGACCCTTTGTTCTCCCCCACTTTGCCTATGGGGGTGTGTTAAATTGTAATGTGTTACATGTTGGTAGGTTGTAGTGGGGTAGCCAATATGGGGTACAACCCCAACTAGGGTTTGCTACTTGTACCCAACTGTTTCATTCAATGCATCATTCTTGTCTAGTCTTGTTGACAGAAGGCTCTGAAGATTTGCCCTGAGAAATCAGGGCATTTTTTTGGATTCTAGAAAAGTGCCCTGAGGGCTCAGGGTGTCCCAAAACCTAGCACGGGCCCTGGTGACAGAGCTGATTTTTCATTAGAATATGAGCGAATTACAAAACTTATCCACATTTTTGTTTTAATTAGACTACTGTTATTACTGTTACAGTCATTGTATTATGAAAAGGCTTTGTGGAAGGCTTTGTGGCTTTGTAGAGCTATGTGTTTTCAAAAGCCTTACCAAAGGATACAGTGATCTGCATCTATTTGCACCAATACAATATATCGAGTAAATTGCAGTTTCCATCATTGTCGTCACCTTGAAGCTGCCGAACCAGCCTCGGTTTTCCTGAAAACCTGGATAACACCAGACAATTCAAAGCACAGGGATTGTCAGAACTTGCGTCTAGACCGTAGTGGAAACTTGGCTACATGAACCTTACGGCATAAGTCAGAGCCTTCTCATTTCTGTTTGCTTCTCCCTGTTCAAGAGCGCTTCTCGCGCAATCCCTTGCTCGTCATAGAAATACCTTCAGCATCCCTTTCCTCCCTTTCAAACCGCTGTTTTCCGAAGTGCTGGTATTGTTTGACGCATGGATCGCTGTGCCTGGCTAAAAGCGCAGCCATGGCTCAAACCGCATGCGTCTCTGAACCGCAGCCGTGTTAGCAATCCTGACACCCCTATCAATGCTAACGAGCCTAGCACCGAACCAGCTGGTTCGATCGCAGAACCAGCTACTAATCCTGCAAACCTTCCCTCTCCGGAGCCTAGCTGGGTTTTTAAGGGCTTCGGAAGCTTCCACGTTAGTGCGTCGGAACAGTACGGATCGCCGTCCGCTGGAAGACTCTCACAGCACCTTGGGACTGTCGGTTCACATCACAATGAGCATGTACTGACTGGAAAGCCATCTCGGCATGACAAGCCTCGGAATGATGAGCTGTTGGGTTTTCTCGCTCCAGACGCCATTCACCTCGAGTTTGCCGTGGACCAGCGGAACCCTAACGCCACGCTTTTCGTGAGTGTAATGGGTGTGACTGTATTGGTGTGGATGTTACAGGAGGCGTGTGGAGCGTTTGCTCCAGGCAGCGGTTGAGGTATTTTGAGGTGTGTGGAGTGGTAGGGTTATGTTTATGATAAGGCCATTAAACCCGCGTTCTATCACGTATTGTTCGTATCTGGTCTTAACCTGTATTTTTACTCTATCACGTACCTTCCATCTTATTCTGTACCTCTCAATGTATTGTGCTCTGTTCCTGTATCAGGGTGTCCGAGTGGGCCACCTGATCCAGCCTTCCCTCATGAATGGGATTCATCGTGTTCTGTACTATCTCTCACATTCTATCTCTCTCATTCATGCAATCCCGTACTGTTCCTGTATCAGGGTGTCCGAGTGGGCTGCCTGATCCAGCCAGAACTCACGTCAACTGATCACGTTCCTGCAGTGCCATCGCCAGCGTCAGCACCAGCTCCAGCCACAACAACCGCAGCAGCAGCAGCAACACCAGCAGCAGCAGCAGCAGCAGCAGCATCAGTAGCACCCTTTGCAGAGACACCAGCAGCAGGCCGAGCTTCAGAATCAAAGTCCCCACTAGCTACAAGACTCAGGTGTGATGAAGCAAAGGGCATGTAGCGAAGGGCATGTAGCGAAGGGCATGTAGCGAAGGGCATGTAGCAAAGGGCATGTAGCGAAGGGCATGTAGTGAAGGGCATGTAGCAAAGGGCATGTAGCGAAGGGCATGTAGCGAAGGGCATGTAGCAAAGGGCATGTAGCGAAGGGCATGTAGCAAAGGGCATGTAGCGAAGGGCATGTAGCGAAGGGCATGTAGCGAAGGGCATGTAGCAAAGGGCATGTAGCGAAGGGCATGTAGCGAAGGGCATGTAGCAAAGGGCATGTAGCAAAGGGCATGTAGCGAAGGGCATGTAGCGAAGGGCATGTAGCGAAGGGCATGTAGCGAAGGGCATGTAGCGAATGGCATGTAGCAAAGGGCATGTAGCGAAGGGCATGTAGCAAAGGGCAAGTAGCGAAGGGCATGTAGCGAAGGGCATGTAGCGAAGGGCATCTAGCAAAGGGCATGTAGCGAAGGGCATGAAGCGAAGGGCATGTAGCGAAGGGCATGTTGCGAAGGGCATGTCCTATCCAGCCATTTTGATGCGTGCGTGGAAGAGGAAAATGGGAGTGGGATGGGGTAGAGGGATATGGGTTGTGTTTCGCCTCTGTCTTAGTGTTGTGAATGCGTCTTGTTCACTTCCAAGCTCAGACCTACCACGTCCTCCTGCTGTTTCAGGACTGTGCTCGATTTTGGGGCAAATGGCGTTTTCCTACTGGATGCTTCTGCTGTCCGCCAACTCATCAGAGGCACCCGGACATTGCCATGCTCCACGTGTCATCAGCTGGAAGGGCGTTGCAGCAAACAGCTTGGGAGTAACCACCGACATGGTAACCAAGATCTCTGTGGTTACCAACAGCGCTGTAACCAAGGCCATTGTGATAACAGCAATAATAACAGATGTTACAGTAGCGAGGGCCGGGGTATTTGTGATGGCGGTCTGAAAAGGAAACTGTTTCAGGAAAACGAAGAAAGGGACAGGTGGATCAGCAAGAAGAAAAGGAGAGGAAAGCAGGGGAATGCTGGAGTTGTGAAGTGTGATTCTAAAGTAGGTGGGAGGGGGGTTGGTGTAGGAGGGACTAAAGGCGAGGGCAGAGAGGAAATGATGGGGAGGGAAAGGAGGATTGGGAGAATGGTAGCACGTACCAGCGGGAAGCGGGTGGGGATTGGCAGGGCAAAAAGTGGTCAATTTAGTAAGAAAGGAGCAGGGAGCATGAGGAGAAGACAGGAAGTGAGCGGAGCCTCAAAGCGTTCTAGATCAAAGCGTGGGGTGGCCGGGAGAAAGGTTGGGATACCGGGGAGGAGTAGTCAGAGTAAGGTGGCGAGTGGTCGGCGGGGTGGTGAAGAGGACGCGGAAGGAGCGGCGGGTAGGGAGAAGGGGAAGGAGAAGAGGGAGAAGGAAAAGGAGGGAGAGGAGGGAAGGGGGGGAGGGGAGGGAGGGGAGAGAAGGGAGAGAAAGGAGAGGGGGATACGTTTGGAGGAGGAGGATGATGACGTGGTTCTAGTGGAGGGGCCTGGGGTGGGAAGAAGGGACGAGGAGAGAGAGGGGTGCACAGGTGTGGAAAGTGGTGCTGTGGGTGTGGGGAGCGATGAAGGGAATAGGCCCTTGGACGTGTCTCAAAAATCTGTTGGTGGTGGGAGTGACGAGGGGAGTAGACGTTTAGGGTCGGCTGAAAAAGCTGCTGGTGTGGGCAGTGACGAAGGGAGTAAGGATTGGAAGGAGAGGAATGTGATTTGCACCCAATATCCCACCGAAACGAATAACGAGGCACCTCATAACGGGGGTAGGAACGTCATATGTACTCAGCTTTTTGTTCTCGAGGCAACGAGTGGGGCAGTGGGGAGTGGAGAGGGGGAGGAGAGAGAGGAGGAGGAAGGAGAAGGAGAGGAGATTGAGGAGATTATAATGGAGGTGAGGGAGGAAGTAGAGGAGACTGAGGAAGGGGAAGAAGGGGAAGAGGAGGAGGGAGAGGATGAGGAGGAGAAGGAGGAGGAGGAGGAGGAGGAGGAGGAGGAGGGGGAGGAGGAGGAGGAGGAGGAGGAGGAGGAGGAGGAGGAGGAGGAGGAGGAGGAGGAGGAGGAGGAGGAGGAGGAGGAGGAGGAGGAGGAGGAGGAGGTGGAGGAGGAGGAGGAAGAAGATGAAGGTGAGGAAGGGGAGGATAACGAAGGAGCAAATGATGAGGCTGGAGGAGGGAACGAGTGGCGAGAGGTGGAGGAAGGGGGCACGGAGAACGACGATGGATGTCCGCATTCCCGCACAGCCTGTGTGCATGCTGTGCCGTATGTCAGCCTGCTGCTGCCACACGTCACCTTCACTCTGCATGGGTTGTGTGGCCCAGAGGAGAAGGAGGAGCAAAGGGAGCAAGGGGAGCAAAGGGAGCAAGGGGACCCAGGGCCAGACGTTGAAAGGTATGTGTTCCACTACTTTCTTATGTGTTGCTGTGTAAGTATGTGCCTTCCATTTCTTGTGTTTACTCTTTTTTGATCTGTTCCATGTTTTCTTGCCTTCTCTCCCCATAGAGGGGCCACCTTCTTGCGCTCTTCGTACTCGCTGATAGAGCTCGCTGCATCCTGTTTTGCTCTGACTGCCCCATACTGCCCGAGACCCACCTCCTGTGTGCTTCTCTGATTTCTTCTTTTTTTTTTAGTCGTCTCAGGATTCACTTTGCTCTGACCTCGAGTTGACTTTTGAGTCGACTCAAAAGTCAACTTGCTTCTCTTTTGAGTCGACTCAAAAGTCAACTTGCTTCCCTAAGTTCTGTCTTTTGAGTCGACTCAGGATTCTCTTTTCTCTGAGCGCCTTATGGTGGGGGGAAATCACGTCACACGACCTCCTGCTTCTGTGCCCTGTCTAACGTCCCTACCTTGCAGTGTGGTTCTCACCGTAGCAGCTTCTATGGCAGCAGCGGCAGAAGCAGCAGCATCAACTGCGAGCGCCTCAAGTGCCACCCTCCTTCCAGCCATGTCATCCTTCTCCTCCCTCTCGTCGCCTCTCCCCCCCTTCCACCGGTGGGCATCAGCGTGTGAGCGGTTGAGTGCGGCAGCAGTGGGGGCCACAGAGGCCTGTGGGGCGGACAGCTGGCTCATGTCACACCTGCTACAGCAATCAGTAAGTGCCAAGGTAAAATGAGAAAGAGAACAAGTAATGCTGTGTCATGGCTGGTGTTGTCTCCACAGCAGCAGTGGGGGCCACAGAGGCCTGTGGGGCGGACAGCTGGCTCATGTCACACCTGCTGCAGCAATCAGTGAGTCTGTAGACTATACATAAATTACATAGACATTTGGAATGTACATACATAATGTGTGACTCCACCGGTGGGCATCAGCGTGTGGGCAGTTGAGTGCAGCAGTGGGGGCCAGAGAGGCCTGTGGGGCGGACAGCTGCCTCATGTGGCACATGCTGCAGCGAACCATAGGAGTGTGACGCGAACTGTAACACTCCTACAAGCGAGGCTGTGGACGCTTTGTGATACCACCACTGTTGGTGTTGCGGTTTGCAGCCTGAGATTCTGCTGGTTGATGGAACTTACGTGCAATGTGTCATGTGCGACCCACCACCAACAGGCTCATTTTTCCTCTATTGGGGAGGCGGCACACAGAGAGCTGGTGGCAGGGGCTGCAGGGATACTCAAGCAATATGCCAGTGCACAGGTGAGTTCTCTATACGGAGAAAGGGAACTTGTTATGAGGCGCCTAAGAAACTAATGCGCAGGTGAGTGGCTCTTTGGGAGCAAGGGAGCTGAAGGTGACTCCTTATGTTTCCTTACGCTTTCAGAGACCATGCACTCATCGTGTGATGCATAATGAAACGGAGGTGGGACCTTGGTGGTGTTGTTTTGAGTCGTCTCAGAGGATCTGAAGGCGTTGCACTGACGGTATTTTCTAGTCTCCCCACGCCAATCAAATTCGCCTCCTGTATCCGCTTTCGTTCTTCGTTCCTATGTGACAGGTCGAGCTGGTAAAATCCAGCCGATCCTCCTCTCATGCTCTTTCTCCATCCGCTCCAATCCTCCCTCCCTCTTGCATCTGTTTTTTCATGTTCCTTGCTGACAGGACGAGCTGAGCAAGGCCCTGGAGCTCCTTCGATCACAGGCTTCTAAGCGCAGGGGCGCACTTGCCAGCCCTGCTGCGATACAGAACATGCAGTCCCTGCTTGACAAGGTGGGTGGTGATTGATATGAAGGATGAATGGGAGAAATGTGCAAGCATCTGTGTGCAGGCGTCTAGACGCAGAGGCGCACCTCTTAGCCCTGTTGCAATGAGGAACATCCATTCCCTGCTTGAAAAGGTACGTGGTGATTGATATGTAGCGCGAATTGAACAACTGTGCAAGCATCTGTGTGCACGTGTCTAGATGCAATGGGGGTTGCACCTCCGAGTCCTCCTGGGATGAGCAGTATGAGGGCCCTTGGCAACGTGTCATATGAACTGGGAGTTGGAGTCATCTGCAGGGACGTTAAAATTTGTTTTCCAGCAATGATCATTCTGCATTGCCTGTGCAGGTTGACAACCTTCACAGGCAGCTGCTTCTTATGAACATTTTTGGAAGCTGAGATGTTAAAAGCAACTTCTAATATAAGAAGCGATGCCAGCTGTCATCGGGGATGTAGCTCAGATGGTAGAGCGCTCGCTTAGCATGCGAGAGGTATGGGGATCGATACCCCACTTCTCCACGTTTTCGTCTTCCGCTTTAGTTCTTTTTTTTACCCCCTGCATCAACCGATGTCGCAGTCCGCTCATCGTCATTCCTTCCCCGCGAAAGTCTTCTCACGAGCTGTAAAACCGTCTCCCGCGGCGCCAGATATCGTGACGGTATTTTTAGCGGCTAGTTGACGGAGCTTGATGTTAGGTAGACGCGAGTTGGACATTTGCGTGTGGCGGCGGATCCTGGCCTTAGGAGCGCGTTTGACCACCTCTCTGTACCGCAATGCGGCATTAGCTAGCACCGTTTTGGAGTCGACCCAAAAGGCGTCAGACATTGGCGTGTAGTGGAACCTGGCCCTAGAGGCGTGTTTGACTGCCGTTTCTATAGCGCAATGCAGCGTCAGCCAGCGTGCTGACGTAACGGATCGTCGAGGCGACATAACGGCTTGCAGTCATAGAGGGGCGTTCGCGTCTGTAGCGCTAGCGAGAGCGGCGCTGGTAACCTTTACAGCGAATCAGGCCTCGTTATAACGCGTATGGAGCAGGTCCGTTGCCGGTCACCAGTCACCCGCGGGACTGTGGTGTTTGTCGCGTTCGGCACGCGAGGGGACGTTCAGCCGCTTGCGGTAGGCTCTTCCTCCTTGTATTTGCACCTCCTTGCCCTTCCCCTCCTCGCCCTCCCTCTCCTCCCCCTCTTCGCCTCCCCTCTCCTCGGCTTTCCCCCTCATCGCCTCCTCCCTCCTCGCCTTTCCCCCTCCTCGCCTTTCCGTACCTTCCTCCTTATCTTCCCTTACCATCCGCCTTACCTTCTCCCGTTCCCCCTTTTAACTTCAACCCCCTTGTCCCCCTCTCTTGCACCCCATTCGCCCACGTTCATTCCCCCTCCGTGTAGGTGCTAGCATCAGCACTCGCCACAGAGAGGGTCCAAGATGAGAGAGACAGGAGTGCAGGAGAAGAACAAGAAGGGGGGGGGGAGGGAGGGGAGGGAGAGGGGGAAAAGCGTGGAGTGTACGGGGGAGAAGAGGTCAGGGGAAGGAGGGAGAGGGAAACGTCGATGGCAGTGTGGTTCGTGACTCATCAAGAGCACCAGGTGTGGTTTCTCCCTTTCATGTCTCTGTTTCTTGAGGTCTGTTCGTCAGTGTATCACGTACGTTTCAGGTGATCAAATCTTTCGTGTTGCACTCCCCTTTTCTTCTCTGGTGTCCCGTGCCTTACCTGCAGCGCAGCCTTGGGCCGAGCCTAACAGCCAACGGAGTGGGCTTTGTGGGAGTTTCTTCTCCTGCCTTCAAGAAACGAGAGGACCCGGAGAGGACAGAGGTGAAAGCAGAACGGGAAAAGGGGAGTGGAGAACCGTTAGAAACGAGAGAGGGGAGAGAGGGATAGGGGAAGTAGGGGAGGGAGAGGGGATTGGGGAAGTAGGGGAGGGAGAGGGGATTGGGGAAGTAGGGGAGGGAGAGGGGATTGGGGAAGTAGGGGAGGGAGAGGGGATTGGGGAAGTAGGGGAGGGAGAGGGGATTGGGGAAGTAGGGGAGGGAGAGGGGATTGGGGAAGTAGGGGAGGGAGAGGGGATTGGGGAAGTAGGGGAGGGAGAGGGGATTGGGGAAGTAGGGGAGGGAGAGGGGATTGGGGAAGTAGGGGAGGGAGAGGGGATTGGGGAAGTAGGGGAGGGAGAGGGGATTGGGGAAGTAGGGGAGGGAGAGGGGATTGGGGAAGTAGGGGAGGGAGAGGGGATTGGGGAAGTAGGGGAGGGAGAGGGGATTGGGGAAGTAGGGGAGGGAGAGGGGATTGGGGAAGTAGGGGAGGGAGAGGGGATTGGGGAAGTAGGGGAGGGAGAGGGGATTGGGGAAGTAGGGGAGGGAGAGGGGATTGGGGAAGTAGGGGAGGGAGAGGGGATTGGGGAAGTAGGGGAGGGAGAGGGGATTGGGGAAGTAGGGGAGGGAGAGGGGATTGGGGAAGTAGGGGAGGGAGAGGGGATTGGGGAAGTAGGGGAGGGAGAGGGGATTGGGGAAGTAGGGGAGGGAGAGGGGATTGGGGAAGTAGGGGAGGGAGAGGGGATTGGGGAAGTAGGGGAGGGAGAGGGGATTGGGGAAGTAGGGGAGGGAGAGGGGATTGGGGAAGTAGGGGAGGGAGAGGGGATTGGGGAAGTAGGGGAGGGAGAGGGGATTGGGGAAGTAGGGGAGGGAGAGGGGATTGGGGAAGTAGGGGAGGGAGAGGGGATTGGGGAAGTAGGGGAGGGAGAGGGGATTGGGGAAGTAGGGGAGGGAGAGGGGATTGGGGAAGTAGGGGAGGGAGAGGGGATTGGGGAAGTAGGGGAGGGAGAGGGGATTGGGGAAGTAGGGGAGGGAGAGGGGATTGGGGAAGTAGGGGAGGGAGAGGGGATTGGGGAAGTAGGGGAGGGAGAGGGGATTGGGGAAGTAGGGGAGGGAGAGGGGATTGGGGAAGTAGGGGAGGGAGAGGGGATTGGGGAAGTAGGGGAGGGAGAGGGGATTGGGGAAGTAGGGGAGGGAGAGGGGATTGGGGAAGTAGGGGAGGGAGAGGGGATTGGGGAAGTAGGGGAGGGAGAGGGGATTGGGGAAGTAGGGGAGGGAGAGGGGATTGGGGAAGTAGGGGAGGGAGAGGGGATTGGGGAAGTAGGGGAGGGAGAGGGGATTGGGGAAGTAGGGGAGGGAGAGGGGATTGGGGAAGTAGGGGAGGGAGAGGGGATTGGGGAAGTAGGGGAGGGAGAGGGGATTGGGGAAGTAGGGGAGGGAGAGGGGATTGGGGAAGTAGGGGAGGGAGAGGGGATTGGGGAAGTAGGGGAGGGAGAGGGGATTGGGGAAGTAGGGGAGGGAGAGGGGATTGGGGAAGTAGGGGAGGGAGAGGGGATTGGGGAAGTAGGGGAGGGAGAGGGGATTGGGGAAGTAGGGGAGGGAGAGGGGATTGGGGAAGTAGGGGAGGGAGAGGGGATTGGGGAAGTAGGGGAGGGAGAGGGGATTGGGGAAGTAGGGGAGGGAGAGGGGATTGGGGAAGTAGGGGAGGGAGAGGGGATTGGGGAAGTAGGGGAGGGAGAGGGGATTGGGGAAGTAGGGGAGGGAGAGGGGATTGGGGAAGTAGGGGAGGGAGAGGGGATTGGGGAAGTAGGGGAGGGAGAGGGGATTGGGGAAGTAGGGGAGGGAGAGGGGATTGGGGAAGTAGGGGAGGGAGAGGGGATTGGGGAAGTAGGGGAGGGAGAGGGGATTGGGGAAGTAGGGGAGGGAGAGGGGATTGGGGAAGTAGGGGAGGGAGAGGGGATTGGGGAAGTAGGGGAGGGAGAGGGGATTGGGGAAGTAGGGGAGGGAGAGGGGATTGGGGAAGTAGGGGAGGGAGAGGGGATTGGGGAAGTAGGGGAGGGAGAGGGGATTGGGGAAGTAGGGGAGGGAGAGGGGATTGGGGAAGTAGGGGAGGGAGAGGGGATTGGGGAAGTAGGGGAGGGAGAGGGGATTGGGGAAGTAGGGGAGGGAGAGGGGATTGGGGAAGTAGGGGAGGGAGAGGGGATTGGGGAAGTAGGGGAGGGAGAGGGGATTGGGGAAGTAGGGGAGGGAGAGGGGATTGGGGAAGTAGGGGAGGGAGAGGGGATTGGGGAAGTAGGGGAGGGAGAGGGGATTGGGGAAGTAGGGGAGGGAGAGGGGATTGGGGAAGTAGGGGAGGGAGAGGGGATTGGGGAAGTAGGGGAGGGAGAGGGGATTGGGGAAGTAGGGGAGGGAGAGGGGATTGGGGAAGTAGGGGAGGGAGAGGGGATTGGGGAAGTAGGGGAGGGAGAGGGGATTGGGGAAGTAGGGGAGGGAGAGGGGATTGGGGAAGTAGGGGAGGGAGAGGGGATTGGGGAAGTAGGGGAGGGAGAGGGGATTGGGGAAGTAGGGGAGGGAGAGGGGATTGGGGAAGTAGGGGAGGGAGAGGGGATTGGGGAAGTAGGGGAGGGAGAGGGGATTGGGGAAGTAGGGGAGGGAGAGGGGATTGGGGAAGTAGGGGAGGGAGAGGGGATTGGGGAAGTAGGGGAGGGAGAGGGGATTGGGGAAGTAGGGGAGGGAGAGGGGATTGGGGAAGTAGGGGAGGGAGAGGGGATTGGGGAAGTAGGGGAGGGAGAGGGGATTGGGGAAGTAGGGGAGGGAGAGGGGATTGGGGAAGTAGGGGAGGGAGAGGGGATTGGGGAAGTAGGGGAGGGAGAGGGGATTGGGGAAGTAGGGGAGGGAGAGGGGATTGGGGAAGTAGGGGAGGGAGAGGGGATTGGGGAAGTAGGGGAGGGAGAGGGGATTGGGGAAGTAGGGGAGGGAGAGGGGATTGGGGAAGTAGGGGAGGGAGAGGGGATTGGGGAAGTAGGGGAGGGAGAGGGGATTGGGGAAGTAGGGGAGGGAGAGGGGATTGGGGAAGTAGGGGAGGGAGAGGGGATTGGGGAAGTAGGGGAGGGAGAGGGGATTGGGGAAGTAGGGGAGGGAGAGGGGATTGGGGAAGTAGGGAGGGAGAGGGGATTGGGGAAGTAGGGGAGGGAGAGGGGATTGGGGAAGGTGAGGGGGGAG